GCTCAGCCCCATTCCCGGTTTTTTCCCGGAATTCCCATTGAATTCCCATTAAATTCCCATTAAATTCCCATTAAATTCCCATTGAATTCCCATTAAATTCCCATTGAATTCCCATTGAATTCCCGGAATTCCCTTTAGATTCCCATTAAATTCCCATTAAATTCCCGGAATTCCCATTAAATTCCCATTAAATTCCCATTGAATTCCCATTAAATTCCCAATAAATTCCCATTAAATTCCCATTGAATTCCCATTAAATTCCCAATAAATTCCCATTGAATTCCCATTAAATTCCCATTGAATTCCCATTAAATTCCCAGAATTCCCATTAAATTCCCATTAAATTCCCGGAATTCCCATTAAATTGCCATTGAATTCCCATTGAATTCCCATTAAATTCCCATTAAATTCCCATTGAATTCCCATTGGATTCCCATTAAATTCCCATTAAATTCCCATTGAATTCCCATTGAATTCCCATTAAATTCCCATTAAATTCCCATTGAATTCCCATTAAATTGCCATTAAATTCCCATTAAATTCCCATTAAATTCCCATTGCATTTCCAGAATTCCCCTGGAATTCCCCCGGGCTCAGCCCCATTCCCGTTTTTTTCCCGGAATTCCCATTAAATTCCCATTCCCGTTTTTTTCCCGGAATTCCCATTAAATTCCCATTGAATTCCCATTAAATTCCTGGAATTCCCATTAAATTCCCATTAAATTCCCATTAAATTCCCATTGAATTCCCATTAAATTCCCATTAAATTCCCAGCATTCCCATTAAATTCCCATTAAATTCCCAGAATTCCCCCCGGGCTCAGCCCCATTCCCGGTTTTTCCCGGAATTCCCATTAAATTCCCATTATTTTCCCTTTAAATTCCCATTGAATTCCCATTGAATTCCCATTAAATTCCCATTGAATTCCCATTGAATTCCCGGAATTCCCCCAGCTCTGCCCCATTCCCGGTTTTTCCCGGAATTCCCTTTCTGTTTTCCCAGGAATTCCGAGCTCGTTCTCCCGGGAAAGCCGGAGACGCGGAGCATGATGGAATCGCGGATCCGGAGTGAGGGAAATCCCGGGAAACGCGGGAAAGGGACGGGAAAAGGGGGAAAAATGGGAAAAATGGGAAAAATGGGATGGGAAAATGGGGGAAATGGGGAAAAAATGGGGGGAAATGGGAAAAATGTGGGAAAAAATGGGGAAAAATGGGAAAAAATAGGTGGGAAATGGGGAATAATGGGAAAAAAAGGGGGAAAAAAGGGGAAAAAATGGGAAAAATGGGAAAAAAATGGGGGGAAAATGGGGAAAATTGGGGGAAATGGGGGGAAATGGGAAAAAATAGGGAAAAAATAGGGGGAAAATGGGGAATAATGGGGAAAAAAGGGGGAAAAATGGGAAAAAATAGGGGGAAAAATGGGGAAAATTGGGGGAAATGGGGGAAAATGGGGAAAAAATGGGAAAAAAAGGGGGGAAAATGGGAAAAAATGGGGAAAAAAATGGGGAAAATGGGATGGGAAAATGGGAATAATGAAAAAAAAGGGAAAAAATGGGGAAAAATGGAGAAAAATGGGGAAAAATGGGGAAAAAGGGGATGGAAAAATGGGAGGAAAATGGGATGGGAAAATGGGGAAAGATGGGAAAAATGGGGAAAAATGAGGGAAAAATGGGGAAAAAACGGGGGAAAATGGGAAAAAATGGGAAAAATGGGAAAAAAATGGGGGGAAATGGAGAATAATGGGGAAAATGGGAAAAAATGGGGAAAAATGGGGGGAAAGTGGGAAAAAAGGGGAAAAAATGGGGAAAATGGGATGGGAAAAATGGGGAATAATGGAGAAAAATGGGAAAAAATGAGAAAAAAATGGGGGGAAATGGGATGGAAAAATGGGGAAAAAATGGGACAAATTGGGGAAAAAATGGGAAAAATGGGAAAAAAATGGGGAAAATGGGGGAAAATGGGGGGAAAAATGGGGGAAAATGGGGAAAAATGGGGAAAAATGGGGAAAATGGGAAAAAATGGGATGGAAAAATGGGGGAAAAGAGGGATAAATGGGGAAAAATTGGGGAAAATGGGATGGGAAAATGGGAAAAATGGAAAAAAAGGGAAAAAATTGGGAAAAACGGGGAAAAATGGGGAAAAAGGGGATGGAAAAATGGGGGGAAATGGGATGGGAAAATGGGGAAAATGGGGAAAAATGGGAAAAACGGGGAAAAATGGGAAAAAAATGGGGGAAAATGGGAAATAATGGGGAAAATGGGTAAAATGGGAAGGAAAAATGGGAGGAAAGTGGGAAAAAATGGGAAAAAAGGGGGAAAAATGGGGAAAAATGGGGAATAATGGGGAATAATGGGGAATAATGGGAAAAAATGGGAAAAAAATGGGGGAAAATGGGATGGAAAAATGGGGAAAAAATGGCAAAAAATGCGAAAAATTGGGGAAAAAATGGGAAAAATGGGGAAAAAATGGGGAATAATGGGGAAAAATGGGGGAAAATAGGAAAAAATGGGGAAAAATGGGGGAAAATGGGATGGGAAAATGGGAAAAACGGGAAAAAAAAGCAAAAAAACGGGGAAAAATGGAAAAAAGGGGAAAAATGGGGAATAATGGGGAAAAATGGAGGGAAAAGGGAAAAAAATGGAAAAGGAGGAAAAATGTGGGAAAAACAGGGAAAAAAAGGAAAATGAGGGGAAAAATGTAATGGAAAAATGGGAAAATATGGGGGGAAATGGGGAAAAATGGGGAATAATGGGGGAAATGGGATGGAAAAATGGGGAAAAAATGGGAAAAATGGGGGGAAAAATGGGAAAATAGGAAGAAAAAAGGGGAAAAAAAGGAGGAAAAAAGATGGAAAAAATGAGGGAAAAAAAGGAAAAAGTTGGGGAAAAAAGGAGGAAAAAATTGGGGAAAAAAGAGGGAAAAAGGGAAAAAAGGAAAAAAAAAAGAAGGAAAAAAGGAGGAAAAAAATTGGGGAAAAAAGAGGGGAAAAAGAGGAAAAAATCGGGGAAAAAAGGAGGAAAAATTGGGGAGAAAAGGAGAAAAAATGGGGGAAAAAAAGAAGGGAAAATGGGAAAAAAGGAAAAAAAATAGGAAAAAAAGAGGAAAAATTTGGGGAAAAAATTGGGAAAAACATTGAGGAAAAAGTCAGGGAAAAAAAGGAGGAAAAAAGGGAAAAAAAAAGGAAAAAAGGAGGGAAAAATTGTGGAAAAAAGAGGGAAAAAGGGAAAAAATGGAGGAAAAAAAATTGGGGAAAAAGGGAAAAAAAAGAAGGAAAAAAGGAGGAAAAAATTGGGGAAAAAAGGGGAAAATTGAGGAAAAAGGGAGGAAAAAATCAGGGAAAATAGGAGCAAAAATCATGGAAAAAAGGGGAAAAAAAAGGAAAAATTTGGGGAAAAAAATTAGAAAACAAAGAGGGAAAAAGGGAAAAAAAAGGAGAAAAAAAGATGGAAAAAGGAGAAAAAAGGAAAAAAGGAGGAAAAATCTGGGGAAAAAGGGAAAAAAAAGGAAAAAAGGAGGAAAAAAATTGGAAAAAAAAGAGGGAAAAAGGGGAAAAAAAGGAGGAAAAAAGATGGAAAAAGGAGGGAAAAAAGGGAAAAAGGAGGAAAAAATTGGGGAAAAAAGGAAAAAAAAGGAAAAAAGGAGGAAAAAATAGGAAAAAAGGAGGAAAAATCTGGGAAAAATGGAAAAAATTGGGAAGAAAAGGAGGAAAAATCAGGGAAAAAAGGGAAAAAAAAGGAAAAAGGGAGGAAAAATCAGGGAAAAAAGTGGGAAAAAAAGGAAAAATTTGGGGAAAAAAATTGGAAAAAAAAGAGGGAAAAAGGGAAAAAAAGGAGGAAAAAAGATGGAAAAAGGAGGGGAAAAAAGGGGGAAAAAGGGGGAAAAAAAGAGAAAAAAAGGAAAAAAGGAGGAAAAATTTGGGGAAAAAAAGGAGGAAAAATCAGGGAAAAAGGGAAAAAAAAGGAAAAAAAGGAGGAAAAAAATTGGAAAAAAAAAGAGGGAAAAAGTGGAAAAAAAGGAGGAAAAAGGAGGGGAAAAGGAGGGGAAAAAAGGGAAAAAGGGGGAAAAAATTGGGGAAAAAAGGGAAAAAAAAGGAAAAAAGGAGGAAAAAGGAGGGAAAAAAGGGAAAAAAGGGGAAAAAAAAGGAAAAATTTGGGGAAAAAAATTGGAAAAAAAAGAGGGAAAAAGGGAAAAAAAAGGAGAAGAAAAGATGGAAAAAGGAGGGAAAAAAGGGAAAAAGGGGGAAAAAATTGGGGAAAAAAGGGAAAAAAAAGGAAAAAAGGAGGAAAAAAGATGGAAAAAAGAGGAAAAATCAGGGAAAAAAGGGGAAAAAAAAGGAAAAATTTGGGGAAAAAAACTGGAAAAAAAAGAGGGAAAAAGGGAAAAAAAAGGAGAAAAAAAGATGGAAAAAGGAGGAAAAAAGGGAAAAAGGGGGAAAAAATTGGGGAAAAAAGGGGAAAAAAAAGGAGGGAAAAATAAGGAAAAAAGGAGAAAAATAAGGAAAAAAGGAGGAAAAAAAGGAGGAAAAAATCGGGGAAAAAAGGAAAAATTTGGGAAAAAAAGGAGGAAAAATCAGGGAAAATGGGGGAAAAAAAGGAAAGAAGGAGGGGAAAGAAAAAGGAAAAAAGGAGGAAAAGAATTGGTAAAAGAAGAGGGAAAAAAAGGAGGAAAGAAGATGGAAAAAATTGGGGAAAAAAGGGAAAAAGAAGGAGGAAAAAAAAGGAAAAAAGGAGGAAAAAATAGGAAAAAAGGAGGAAAAATTTGGGGAAAAAAGAGGGAAAAAAGAGGGAAAAAAAAGGAGGAAAAAAGATGGAAAAAGGAGGAAAAAAAAGGGAAAAAGGGGGAAAAAATTGGGGAAAAAAGGGAAAAAAAAGGAAAAAGGGAGGAAAAAATCAGGGAAAAAAGGGGAAAAAAAAGGAAAAATTTGGGGAAAAAAATTGGAAAAGAAGAGGGAAAAAGGGAAAAAAAAGGAGGAAGAAAAGGGAAAAAGGAGGGGAAAAAAGGGAAAAAGGGGGAAAAAAATTGGGGAAAAAAGTGGAAAATTGAGGAAAAAGCGGGAAAATTCCGGGAGTTGAAATTCCCGGGAATTGTGGAACGTTCCAGGGCTGGCGACGACGCTGATGGACGCGAGCACGGATAAAGATCCCGAGGTGCAGGAGCAGATCCGGAATTCCCTGAGTTCCCTGGGAAACGCCGATCCCGAGGAAATGCTGGAATGCTGCGGGGAGTACCTGCGGCAGCACGAGAAGGTCGGGAATTCCGCCGGAATTCCGGGAATTCCTGGAGTTCTGGGAGGGTTTGGGAATTCCTGGGGGTTGGGAAGGGTTTGGGGATGGGAATCCCGGGAATTCCCGGAGTTCTGGGAGGGTTTGGGAATGGGAATTCCACCGGAATTCCGGGAATTCCCAGAGGTTGGGAAGGGTTTGGGGATGGGAATTCCGCCGGAATTCCGGGAATTCCCGGAGTTCTGGGAGGGTTGGGAATTCCTGGGGGTTGGGAAGGGTTTGGGGATGGGAATTCCGACGGAATTCCGGGAATTCCCGGAGTTCTGGGAGGGTTGGGAATTCCTGGGGGTTGGGAAGGGTTTGGGGATGGGAATTCCTGGAGTTCTGGGGGGGTTTGGGGATGGGAATTCCGCCGGAATTCCGGGAATTCCCAGAGTTCTGGGAGGGTTGGGAATTCCTGGGGGTTGGGAAGGGTTTGGGGATGGGAATTTCCTGGGAATTCCCAGATTTCCCAGATTTCCCCCAGAATTCCCAGATTTTCCTATGTTTTTCCCAGAATTCCAGAATTTTCCCCCCCAAATTTCCTCCAGAATTCCCAGATTTCTCCCCAGAATTCCCAGATTTTCCCCAGAATTCCCAGAATTCCCAGAATTCTCCCCAGAATTCCCAGAATTCCCAGATTTCCCCCAGAATTCCCAGATTTCCCCCCAGAATTCCCCAGAATTCCCAAATTTTTCCCGTTTTTCCCAGCTGCCGTTCCCATTCCGGGCCCTGATCCTGTTTTCCATGGGTTCCGTTATCCGGAGCCATCTCCAGGATCTCGGGAAGGGCTCGGCCGCCGCCGCCGCCGCTTTGGCCGCTCGCGAGATGACCCGAGCCAAGGTGGGACAGGGAATTCCCGGGAATTCCCAGAAATTCCTGGAATTCCGGGGGGAGTTTGGGGGATTTGGGGGAATTTTTGGGGAATTTTTTGGGGATTTTTTGGGATTGTTTTGGATTTTTGGGGAATTTGGGGGGGATTTTTTGGGGGATTTTTTGGGGGAATTTTTGGGAATTTTTGGGAATTTTTGGGGGAATTTTTGGGAATTTTGGGAAATTTTTTGGGAAATTTTTTGGGAATTTTGGGGTAATTGTGGGGAATTTGGGGGAATTTTTTTGGGATTTTTTGGGGAATTTTTGGGGATTTTTTCGGGAATTTTTGGGAATTTTGGGGAATTTTTTGGGAAATTTTTTGGGAATTTTGGGGGAATTTGGGGGAATTTTTTGGGGATTTTTTTGGGAATTTTTGGTGATTTTTTGGGGAGGTTTTTTGGGGATTTTTTGGGATTGTTTTGGATTTTTGGGGAATTTGGGAGGATTTTTTGGGGATTTTTTTGGAATTTTTGGGAATTTTTTGGATTGTTTTGGATTTTCGGGGAATTTTTGGGGGATTTTTTGGGAATTTTTTGGGAAATTTTGGGGTATTTGGGGACATTTTGGGGAATTTGGGGGATTTTTTTAGGAATTTTTTGGGATTTTTTTGGATTGTTTTGGATTTTTGGTGAATTTTTGAGAATTTTTGGGAATTTTTTTGGAAATTTTGGGATATTTGGAGTAATTTTGGGGAATTTGGGGGAATTTTTTTGGGATTTTTTGGGGAATTTT